TTGTCACTTGTCCTGGGATCAGAAGACTGTTTCTTTCTCTGCCCCCAATTCTCTTTGTGCCTGCTCCACTGGTTATTGTGGTTCCTTTGTTCCGAACGGCAATCTGTGCTCCTATGCCTCCTGCGGACAGTCCAGCTGCCTGCAGGCAGCCACGGCACCATGTGTTATGCCCTTTGGAGTTAGATTTTCACGAGTCACCTGTACAACAGGATGTGGTCCCTGCCCAGGGTGTACTCCCGATTCCAGGGGCAGTCCCTACTCAGGATGCAGCCGCAAACGTCCAGGGATTGGAACATGATTTGCCCCGATTGCAGTTAACCCCACAAAGTGTAGACCGCATGGGGGATCTGCAAATGGCTGACCAGCATAGTTTGGATGAACTGCAAATGTGTGCCCCACCACATGCAGACCTCATGTGTGATCTGCAAGTGATTGACCAGCAAACAACCCAAAGCCTTTCTGGGTGATCTGCAAATTGTTGGCCAGCATCCGGCACACCAGCTTGATATCCCCACCAATCGCTGCGGTCTGACTGCAACTAATATCTGTCTTCACATTGTCTACCGCCCGTTATACACCGTCAGACTTCCTTGCAATTGCCCTTCAGCTTGATGCTGATCTTCCCCGCCTACAGCCAGAGGATTGTAATTATACCAGTAAAAGAGGTTTACCATTACTGACCTACAAGTAGCAATGAGGGACCGCCAACTTCAACTACGCAATCCTCGAGCAGGTGAGTGGTTTAATCCACCATCCCACATGTGGCATACTCAGACCCACACGGGGCCAGCAAGGCCCGGCAGTAGGGTTAGGGGTTTCGTAGGGTTTAGGTTCTGTGTAGGACCCAGTAGGCCACTATCTCGTTTTTGCCATCTTCTGGCATTGACCAGACCTATGCAAAAACAGGTTCCTACTTTTGGCATCGACCAGACCAATGCAAATTGGCGCCAGACTTTTCGTATTTTCACCTGGTTCCTACTTTCTGCAAATGGGCGCCAGACTTTTCGTATTTTCGCCTGGCCCCTACTTTTTGCCATTTTTCGTTTTTGGCACCAGAACCAACTTCTGTTCTTGGCGCCAGACTGTTTTTTCTTTCGACCAGACTGTTTCCTTTCGACCTAGGACACTAGGCCCAGCGTATATATAGCTGGGTCGACCTCATTTCTAGGAAGGTAGTTCTTCAGGCAGTTCACTGAGGTAGTGCTAGGCGCGTCTCGGTGGTAGCTCTGAGGTAGTAGTGAGTAGTCTTCAGTAGTCGACACGCTGGGGGCAGTTAGAGTAGTCTACAGCGCTGGGCACGAGCTAGGAGAGTGCGAGACGGGCCGAGGCCAGGAGGACTTACCTACAACTTACCTGCAACGCCATTGCTCCAGCTTCGTTTTCGGGACGTCCACACCTGCATCAAGGCGGCACCTTTCTGCAGGTTAGTACCTGGCACACACACACACACACACACACACACACACACACACACACACACACACACACACACA